ATACATTAGTTTCTTTTTATTTTGCTTTTATTTATTTTTTAAGATTTAAAAAAATGTAATCTCTACACCCAGGGTAGGGATCAAACTCACAATTCCAAGATCAAGGGTCACAAGCTCTACTGACTGAGCCTGCTAGGTATCCCCATTAGTTACTTTTTTAAATAATCAAATCCATTTTTTAAAAAGCAGTCCCTGGGGTTGCCTGGGTGGCTCAGTTGGTTAAGTGTTCAACTTCAGCTCAGGTCATAATCTCACAGTTCCAGAGTTCGAGCTCCATGTTGGGCTCTGTGCTGACAGTGCAGAACCTGGAGCCTGCTTCAAGTTCTGTGTCTCCCTCTCTCTGCCCCTCCCCTGCTCACACTCTGGCTCTCTCAAAAATGAATAAACATTTTTTAAAAAATAAAATTAAAAAAAATTAAAAAGCAGTTCCTGAACATGAACCTGAATTGAAACAAATGAACCCAATTATACATTAAATTTGTAACATAGTTCCTCAAAGAAAGAATATATTTCAAAAGAGTTTAGAAGAAAGAAGTAACTATACATCTTTGGTAGGATGCATATTAAGGACAAAAATAGCTACAAAGAAATTTTTCATGTGATAAAGTATGTTCATGGTTACTACTATTACCAGTAATGTTATTTTGAAACCATTTTCCTTATACTGTAAGATAAAACAATGAAAATAAGAACTTATGTTAGCATGTTTAAAAATCTTTACTATAAAATACAATTAGGAGCTAATTAGTACATAAAAATATGCCATTTAAATTGAATTAGAAACTTACATGAACTCGTATTTTTAAAAATGATTTTCTAGTTCTATCATGAAATGCCCTGAAACAATATTACCACTGCAGCAATGAGACATCTCTTAATACCATTCTCCAATAAAGGGAACCAGAGCTCTTTGTGAGAAATGGCCAATTCCAAGTGTAACAGGGAAGGTACAAAGTGAGCTTGGAGTGCAAAAAAGTTTCAAAGTTAAATGGCAGCAAGTCAAAATGAACCAGGAGTGACCTTGGAGGAATGTCCACCAGCTAAAACTGTGATAACAGGGGCATCACAAAGAAGACTAGCTGCAGTTACTAGAACACTGTGTGATGATGTTTAAAGGTCAGAAATTTTTGAAACAATTTGAGGTCAGCAACCAAATAACTGGAAAAGGAATTTTAAAAAACTAGAAAATCATCAGTTTTCAACCCTTGAAAAAATTGACTTAACCAAGGATTATTTACTAGAGTAAAGACTATCTACTAAATCGTAAGAAATGAACATTAGTATGGTACCAAAGTAAATCCATACAGATTACATTTTGGTCATAAAGGGGAAAATGCAATCACTAATGATGGACCAGTCATATCATAGGTCTTTCCTGATGTTACACAATTTGAAGATCATCTCTGATATACTCTGACCAAAAATAAGTCACAATTGGGATTTTTAATAAATATCATCACAGGTTCTGAATTAGAACCGTGAGAAAGTAACCATCATAGAAATCAAAGAACATTCTCATGAAAAAGATAATGATGGGTTTCTAAAGATGACTAGAACTTGAACACAGAAATCTAACTTCCTCATTCCAGTTATAAAAGGAAATGTTATTTTTAAAAAGTTTAACATGGAAATAGGGGCGTCTGGGTAGCTCAGTCAGTTAAGTGTTTGACTGGTTCAGGTCACAATCTCAAGGTGTGACCTCGAGCCTAGGTGACAGGGAGCCTGGAGCCTGCCCTCCCTCTCTGCCCCTTCTCCTTTGTGTATGGGCGTGCACTTTTGCGTGCAGTCTCGCTCTCCCTCTCAAAAATAAATAAAATTAACATTAAAAAAAGTTAAACAGGGGCACCTGGGTGGCTCAGTAAGTTAAGAGTCTAACTTTGGTCATCATCTCACAGTTCTTGAGCCCCATATTACGCTGTGTGTTGTCAGCACAGATCACAGGGGATCCTCTGTCCCCCTCTCTATGTACCCCTCCCCCATGCTCTTTCCCATGTGTCTGCTCTCAAAAATAAACATTTAAAAAAGAAGGGGCCATGGGGTGGCTCAGCTAGTTGAGTGTCAGACTTCGGCTCAGGTCATGATCTCACGGCTTTTTGGGTTTGGGCCCTGTGTTGGGTTCAGTGCTGACAGCTCAGAAACTGGAGGCTGCTTCAATTCTGGTGTTTCCCTCTCCCTCTGCCCCTCCCCCACTTGCACTCGGTCTCCCTCTCTCAAAAATGAATAAACATTAAATAAATTAAAAAATAAAATAAACACAGAAATAAAAAAAGAACATCTATATAGCCGAATCTTTAAGAAAGTCTTACCAGAGATAGTACAAATGGCTATTCTATTCTAAGGAACTATTATTTTGCAGATAATAATAATACTGCTATTTAGCACTTACCCAGTACTTACTACACACCAGGCACTTAGAACTCCTCAATCTGCACAACCAACCACCCTGTGAATCAGATACTATTATTTTCTCTATACATTACTAAATAAGAAACAGGGACAGGTTTAAGTACACCGAGGTGCAAAGTGGCACAGGAAGGAATTAACAGTCTGGGTCCAAGGCCTATGTCGTCCTTTAAAGGAAAAAGAAAAAGAAAAAGACTTTAACTTTTAAATACTAAATTCATAGATTTAGAAAACAAACATAAAAGGGTATTTACCCTTGCCCTACCTATCCCAGGACTACTACCCCAAATGGAGATAGCCATTTATTAGTTTCTTGTGTAGCTTTTGAGTTTTCTAATGAAAACAAATATAAATATATATATTCTTATTTCTGCCCCTTCTTACTTCAAATGAAGCATGCCATACATTTGGCATCTTAGTTACTTCAATGTCAGTGTACAGAAAGCTTCCTCCTCATTCTTTTGTATTCTTGCGTATTATTCTATTGTATAGATGGATCTAATTTTATCAAACCAATCTAGTGATGACTTATCTTTTCCTCTGCCAAACACCACAGCAATAAGCAAGCTTGTACTCCTATCATTTTAAGCAAATGCAGGTACACTTGTAGGATTAATTTCCAGATGTGAAATAGCCCCATTAAAAAGAAAACACACTTGTAGTTATTATAGATGTTGCCGGATTTCCCTTCATCGGCCTGTTTCATGGTAACACCAAAACGATTTTAATTTCTGAGAATTTAGATTTTAAAATACATTACCATTAGATGGATGGATCTAGACAATATAATGCTAAGTGAAATAAGTCAGAGAAGGACAAATACCATATGATTTCGCTTATGTGTGGAATTTAAGAAACAAAACAAAGGGAACAAAGGGGGAAAAAGAGACAAACCAAAAAACAGTCTTAACTACAGAGAACAAACAGATGGTTACCAGAGGGGAGGTGGGTGGGTGAGTGGGGGATGGGTGAAATAACTGAAAGGGATTAAGAGTACACTTATCTTGATGAGTACTGAGTAATACAGAGGCTTACTGAATCACCATATTGTACACCTGAAACATGTAACAATGTATGTTAACTATACTGGAATTAAAAAAATAAAATACATTAGCACTGGACTCCCTCCTCCCCACACCCAAACTGCTTTTTCTTTTTCAGAGTTTTACTTGCTACTTTATTTTTCCATATGAAGTGCAGAATCCGCTTATCTAGTTCTCCCCCACCCCCCTCAAAAAAGTAGATACTATTATTAGGATTACATTGAATTAATAAATTCACTTAAATCTACACACGCTTCTTTAAGACGTCTTCCTAATGAAATACATGAGGTATCTATTAAATAACATCCCATATTATGCCTTTTAGCACTTTTTAAAGTTCTTTTATAATAGCTTTGCGTATTGTTTATTTCTGAAATTTTTATTGCTATTGTTAACAGTTTTCTTCTATTACGTCTTCTAACTGGCTGTTGTCTATTTGAATAGTATGGATTTGTAGATATTAAATTGGTACCCAATAATTTTAACTCTTACTATTTATTATTACGTTAAGAAGGACCGTGGGGATTCCTTAAAAAAAGCATCTTTGCAGATCGAAGTAATTGTCTTTATATTTCTTCACAAAATCCACTCAACCTGGGAACACCACGATTCACTTAAGAGTTAGGAGACTTAGAATCTAGGTCAGATTAATGGATAAACATCGCAACAACTAAATTCTTTTCTTCAAAGAATGAGGATAAGTGTACCTAACCTAGAGCTCCAAACCCTTGGTTCCTATCCTGGGCTTTCCGTACCATACGGCATTGCCGCTTAAAGCGTAATGTCGATATTTGGTCTAGTACTTAATAGCAGCCCTATTAAAATACCCTGAAGATCAGAGGATTTGGGATCGCCTGCAGCTCCCCCACCAACAAAAAGTGCATTTGAAACATTATTTGCTTAAAAAAGAAGAAATCAAGGTGATCTGCATTCTACTTCAATTAAAAGTAAATGCCTTTTTATGTAAAAATTCACTTTTAACTTGCCACTCAGCTTTATTCCCCCTTTAAACATTCAAATAAACAACATTCTCAGCGAAGATGGCACCGTTATTACCAGCACTTTCGAGAAGGGAAGTGCGATTCCGATAGTATTACCTCAATGCTGATCTCCTATATCTCCCTCTCAGATGGAGCCATACACAATCCTGCACCCACAGTTACTCAATAATCCCAACACCCAGTCAAACTTGCGGACAAACTCAGGGTCACACACGCTCGAACGCTCCTCAGAGACCCCCACCCCCACCCCACATGTAGGCCAGAAGCTCTTAAACCCACTCCCCATCCCCGCGCCGCGCCCCAATAGATTCAGAATCCTCCCCTTCAACCTCCCCGACCCGAACGGCCCAAGACGCCCACATCCCACCTCCTACTTTCGCGCCACGTGGACCCAGGGGCCGGACTGACCCGCGGACAAAGACCAAAATGTCCACTCGGCGCGCTGCGCCTGCGCACTCCGAGGGCGAGCGAGCGCTCCCAGAAGTCTCCGCGACGCGGCCCGCACGGTCTCCGTGGCCAGGCCTAGGCTGGTATTTGATCACCTGCTGTCAACAGCAAGGCCGCTTTTCCGGCTTTGAACTACATTTCCCTTAAGGCTTTGCTGGTCAGCACTCTGTCCCACACGAACTTGGCTGCCTTTTCCTGTGATTATGGGGCTCGCGGGGTGAGTAGTCCCGCTTTGAAAAAAATCAGTTCAACCTTGGTGGGAGGTTTGAAGCAAGGAGTCCGCCTTTGAAGCCCCGAGGGCGCAGTATCAAACGGGCCAAACTCATGCCCTGAGGTAACGAGGACACCATCTTGCATGTGTCTTGTCTTGCTCTGGACTACGTTTCCCGGAGTCCAAAGCGGCCAACGTTACGTTTTTCTTGACGCCGTGGCGAGATCGTTAGCTCCGCAGGGACCCGGACGCGACCAAGGGGAGGCAGAAGGTGAGGGGTCTGGGAGTCCGGGGCGGGGACGGGGCGTGTCCAGAGCCTCTGGTCTGTGCGCGCTGGCGGGAGCGGGTTGAGGATGCCTGATTGAGAATGAATCTTTGTGGCTGCGTGACCCAGGGTGGGTGACTGTGAGTGTGTGGTTGTGGCTGCCTGTCTCCAGGATGTAAGTCTGGTTGTGTTTGGGCAACCATGTGTGATACTGTGTGTTGGGGTGTGGGGCTTTTGCGACTGTGGGAAAGATAACTGCTTGTGTCCCTGTTGTGTATGTGGGACCGTACGCCTTTTTCTTCGGGAGGTGTGAGGGTGGTTGTGACTGTGAGACAGGTGAGGGCGTCTGTGGGGTTATGATTATATGTCTCCAAGGTGGGTGTATGGTTTTGGTTGCATGATATTGTAGCCACGTGTGGTAGTTTGTGTAATTGTGTGTCTGTGCGTAATTGTGTAAAAGTGTGGTGACACTGCGTTTGTGTATCCCTCTTGTGTCCCTTGGAGTGTGTCTGTGAAACGGTGGCAGAGTGTGGTGCTGTGTGTTTAAGTGTAATGTGTCTTTGCCTGTGTGAATGTGGCTGTCTCCAGAGTGAATTTTCAGTTATGACTAGTTGATGTTGGTGGGCTGGAGTGGCAGTGATTATGTGTATCCCCCACGGGGTATGTGATTGTGTGGGACATTTGTGAGTATTGGTGTGGGCAAGCTGTGATTATATGAGAGTGACTGTATCACGGTGTTTAGTAGATTGTGTGACTGTGTATGTCTTTTTAGTGAGTGTGAGATTGTGACTGTGTATAAGGGCATGGAGTTGTCTGTGAGTGTGTGGTTGTGTCCTGGCATATTTCAAGAGTGGATGTGTGTTTGTATGACACCGTTTGTGTAGCACCAAATGTGCTGGCATGAGGTGCCTGTAACTCCAGTGTTGTGATCCTGGCAGAACCTGTGAAGTTAGAACAGATAGTGGCCCTGGACAGTGACTGCCTCAGCCTCTCCCTGTGACACTGATAATGGACATGGTATCCAGTCTTATCTGACTTCTGTCTCCTGTGTGGAGATCAAAATGTCCTGCTAAGTTCAAGGTGCATTAGGTTTTCTTCTTTCCCTGAGGCCCTTCTTGTTTTTCATGACATGCTTTTCTTCTTCTGAAACTTCTTGCCTAACTCCTCCTCCCCCAAAGTGACCTGGTCTCCAGTATTTGCCTTTGCAGTAAATTATTAGGAGCCCTCCAAGTGACCGGAAAGGTTCATATTTCCCCTGTTCCCTGCACACCTAATGTTCATTAAACATTTTTTAACTTTTCATTTTGACATAGTTTTAGACTTAAAACTGTTGCAAAAATAGAATTCCCATATACTTTTACCCTCCTTCTCCATTTTTAAAAAAAATTTTTTTTAATGTTTTATTTGTTTCTAGAAGAGAGAGAGAGAGACAGCGTGAGCAGGGGAGGGTCAGAGAGAGAGGGAGGCACAGACTCTGAAACAGGCTCCAGGCTCCGAGCTGACAGTCAGCACAGAGCCCGACGCTGGGCTCGAACCCACGAACCGCGAGATCATGACCTAAGCGAAAGTCGGACGCTCAACCGACCAAGCCACTCAGGCGCCCCCCTCCTTCTCCATTTGAAGCGGGTTTGTGAGCAAATGAATAGTCAAGAAAGAATTCTCTCTTTTTTTTATATTGTTTTTAATATCCATTTATTTTTGACAGAGAGAAAGATCAAGCATGAGTTCGTGAGGGGCAGAGAAAGAGGGAGACACAGAATCCAGAATCTGAAGCAGGCTTCAGGCTGTGAGTTGTCAGTACAGAACCCGATATGGGACTTAAACCCAAAAACCGTGAGATCATGACCTGAGCCGAAGTCAGAAACTTAACTGACTGAGCCACTCAGGCATCCCAAGAAAGACTTCTTGAGACATGAAGTGCACAAAGGTGGTTTTATGATAGCACAGAGATAGGACCCATGGGTAGAAAGGACTGCACAGAGATTGTGAGGAGCAGTTGATTATATACTGTGGAGTTGGGGAAGGTAAAGACAAAGGATTTCCAAAAGGATTTTCATATTAAGACTTACAGGATCCTGGAGGCCTGACTATTGTCAAGCTAAGGTGGTTTTTCTTTCCAGCAAGGCATTAACATTAAGATGGGGAGTTTCCTGGAGGAATGTTGTACTCACTCACCTCAAGTATTTGTCGATGGGCTACAAGTTATAAGGAAATTTAATTTTATCTACATTTCTTTTGCCGCTGTTCTCTACAGCATTTTCCATTTTACATAATCACAATACACGATCAAAACCAGGAGATTAACATTGATACACTACTACTAACTAATCTACAAATTTTATTCAAATTTCATCATATGTTGCAGCTGGTTGCTTAGTCTTCTTAGTCTTCTTTGTTCTGGCACAGTTCCTCAGTCTTTATTTGTCTTAATTGACTCTGACACTTTTAAAAGTGGTCATTTATTTTATAAATTCTGCAATGGAGAATGTTCCCCAAATTGAGGTTGTCATGTGTTTCCTTGTAACTAAATTTAGGGTATGCTTTTGGGACAAGCATACCACAAATGTGATGTGTTCTTCTCAAAACATCTTACTGTGAGACCTAAGAGGTCAATTTGCCTCATTACTAGTGGTAACTTTAATCAGTTGGTTAAAGTGGTTTCTGTCTGATTTCTCCACTGCAAAGTCGCCATTTTCCCCATTATAATTAATATGTGTCATGAGAAATACCTTAAGCCTCATTCTACTTCCACCTGCAAACCTTAACATTCATTGATAATTTTTCCCTGAAAATGTCATTACCAGCTATTTGCCAAATGGTGATTTAAAACAATTTTTTTAATGTTCATTTACTTTTGAGAGATAAGACAGAGAGAGAGAGAGAGAGAGAGAGAGACTGAGCATGAGTGGAGGAAGGGCAGAGAGAGAGGGATGCACAGAATCTGAGGCAGGCTCTAGGCTCTGAGCTGTCAGCACAGAGCCTGATTGGGGACTCAAACCCATGAACCTGAGTCAAAGTCAGATGCTAACCGACTGACCCAGGTACCCCCTAGATGTCCATTCTTCTACATTTGCTGAATAGAATCCTACTCTCAGAAGGAGATATTCCTTCTCTCCCACTTATTTATTTACTAAATTATTTAAGTATAGATTGGATTTTTTTTTATTCTGTAGGTTGTACTTCATTACCCTCACTATTTTATTGCTTAAATTACCCCAGATTTGGCCATTGGGAACTCCTTCAAGATGACTAGTGTGTCCTTTCAATGTGTTCCCTTTATTATTTTTTAGTACTAGCATATTTTCTGGGCATCACAAGATGTTCCAGGCTGATATTTTTGTTCCCTGAAATTGGATTTACCTCTTGGTGAGTGTCAAGCTAAAAGACACAACCAGCCGAAAAATAGGCAAAGGAAGTTTTACTTCCACTAAATAAAGGAGAACACCAGGGATCTTCCCCAAAGCAGTGTCTCCATGAACAACAGAATTGGGGAAGTTTTATGCTAAGGGTTCATAAATATTAGTGAAGGAGCTTTTACAGTGGGGAATATAACATGGAATTGGAGTAAAAGTCATCTTAAAATGACTGAGTCAGGGGCACCTGGGTGGCTTAGTCAGTTGAGCATCTGATTGTCTCAGGTCATGATCTCCTGGTTTGTGAGTTCGAGCCCCACATTAGGCTCTATGCTGACAGCTCACAGCCTAGAGCCTGCTTTGGATTCTGTGTCTCCCTCTCTCTCTGGCCCTTCTGTGCTCTCACTCTGGTCCTCTCTCTGTCTCTGAAAAATAAATAAACATAAAAAAAAAAAAAAAAGAGTCCAGGTCAAAGTCATGAGAGCTGGCAAAGGACAGCATCATCACTTGGCTCCAGTTGGTCTGGTATCTGAGTTCTCAAAGGGGCTTAGGTCCTGAAAATATAACCCAAGGATGTACATCAAGTTAGTACATTCACTTTTGAATAAGCAATGTGAGTTTTACTAGCCATTTTGTTGCCCCTGGTATAATTAGGTTATCTTCTGGCCGGATAGTGGCTGTTCTTACTTTCACAAGATGGCCAGCGGCCTGAAATGACTTTTCTTATAGCAAAAAAGCTATGTCTGTCTCTTTTTTTCCCCAGGGACCCCTAACTCTTTCTGCTCACACTTTCCCAGCCTCAGTTCTGGAACATGCACATTTCCCAGAGAACACTGGCTCCTTTTATTAGAAAATCATATTAGGGTGCCCAGGTGGCTCAGTCAGTTAAGCCTCTGACTCCGGCCCAGGTCATGATTCTGCACTTCATGGGTTCAAGCCCTGTGTTGGGCTCTGTGTGACAACTCGGAGCCTGGAGCCTGCTTCAGATTCTGTGTTTCCCTGTCTCTCTGCCCCTACCCTGCTTACACTTTGTCTCTCTGTCTCCCCAAAATAAATAAACATTTAAAAATTTTAATAAAATCATATTTAGAGGGATGACTGGGCAGGTCAGTTGCTTTAGCATCCTACTCTTGATTTCAGCTCAGGTCATGATTTCACAGTTCATGAGTTTGAGCCTCACATGGGGCTCTCACTTATCAGCATGGAGCCTGCTTTGGATCCTCTCTTCCCCTCTGTCTCTGCCCCTGGCCTGCTTGTGCTCTCTCTTGCTTACTTAAAAATAAATAAAACATTTTTAAAAATTGCTAACTTTACACTCCCATACCTCATATACCTCTTTTTATTTTTAGTCTTAACAGTATATAGTGAAAGGACAGCTTTCCCTAGCATGGTAATGTTACTCATTTGTAACATAGAAAGGTTCATTTGTTACTGTTTGTATTTTATTTTGGATTTACATACATACATACATACATCCTGGTTGATTATAATTATTTTTTGAGTGCATGAAACATTAACATGGTTCTAAAAGTCATAATCAGATAAAAGATCTATTCAATCACTCCTCCACAATTCCTTCTCTCCCAATCCCATTACCCTCTGTTTTTTCCCCACACCATTCCCCACTCATTCATTGTAGGTAACCATTTTCAT